GGCAGCGACGACTGCGGCTGCAACCAGAAGAACGGACGCCGCGGCCGCGGTTGCATAGTACCCTCAGAACCTCCAGCACCACCAGCTCCAGTACCTCAAGCACCAAAACCACGAGTACCCCCAGCTCCAGAACCCCCAGCACCAGAACCACCAGCACCTCCAGCTCCAGCACCTCCAGCACCAGATCCTCCAGCACCTCCAGCTCCAGAACCACCAGCACCTCCAGCTCCAACACCCTCAGAACCTCCAGCAACGGTCCCAGGAAGAGGCAACGACGACTACTGCTGCTCCCAGAACAAGGGCCGTCGCGGCAGAGGGTGCAACGCACTCGCAGTGTCAACAGCAGTAGTACCCTCGGCTCCACCACCACTATAACGCTCAGCACCCCCGGAGACAATACCCTCAGGGTCAGAACCTCCAGAACCAGCACCCCCAGAAGCAGCACCCCCAGAACCAGCACCTCCAGAGTCACCACCCCCAGGACCAGCACCCTCAGAGCCTGCACCTCCAACGGCACCACCCCCAACTGCACCAGAGTCCACAGCGACAGGCTGCAGAGGCGGCGAAGACGGCCGAGGCGGGAAACCAGGAGGAGTCTCCAAGCGCGGAGAACGGCGAGAGACCGCCGTGTCATCAGCAGAAGGGTCACCCCCCCTCAGCCGGGCCGGCGGGGTCTGAGGAGACCTCCACAGGCTCAACCAAGGGGGGTGGTGTGACCTAAGACACACCTGAATGAGCAGGACGCGAGGGGGGGGGGGGACGGGGTCTACCTGGTAACATGGAACCATGGAACTGCGGTGGGGGGAGAGTCGATAGTAGCAGACCGACTCGTCAAAGGTGACGTCTTGATAGGACAGGACGCGGCGCGTGACTGGGTGGTAAAACTGCCAGTCAGGAGCGTCGTCAGGAAAGCCAAGGAAGACGCAGCGAATGGTGTGAGGAGAGAGCTTGCCCGCGGTAGTATCGCGGACAAGGGCAAGCGAACCCCAGGCCCGAACGCGACGCATTGCCAACCTCCCCCGTCCAACGCAGTGTAGGCGAGGTCTCTGGCTCGGAGACACGGGGCGAGAGGTTGAGCTCATGCGCGGTGTATCAGACTGCAAACGGCCACAGAAAATGGGGAGCAATTGCATGGATCATGGAGGTGCGAGCAACCTCCATGATCAAGCCAATGCGACGCTCAGCGATCCCATAATGCTATGGAGAGGCCGGAAGCGTGAATGACTGGGTGATGCCCTCCTTGACCAAACTTCTCCAGGAGACCGGAGGAAAACTCCCCTCCACAGTCAGAGTGCAGACGGAGCACCGGGAGGTCCTGGCAGAACCGCTCGCTTAGCTGGCGACGAACAGCGCGGATCCAAGGGATCAAAACACTACGGACGTCTCCCTTCTGCTGCAAGGGAAACACCGTGGTATAGCGCGTGAAGTCGTCGACGACCAGCAGAAAGTAGCGCTCCCGTCGCGGCCCAGAGTCTTGGGCAGGACAGGGGCAGTGCTAGGTGGTTCACCTAAGTCAGTGAGCAAGTGCACCAGCCAGCGGAGCTCTAGAGAAGCCATAGCACCAGCTTAGATATCTGCCTCACAGCTGGATTGTGCCACTGACGACTGGCAAGTGGATCTCCACAAGATAGCTCCGGCGCCAAGGATGATGCAATAGCCCTGAGAGGACCTGAGAGTCTTGATGTCGCCAGCCCACGACTCGTTAGAGTCGCCTGTAAGTTCAACGGGCTGTCGTCCTCCAAGCACAAGCCCCATGCCAGATGTACTAGCAAGATAGCGCAGTACCCTCTTAGCAGCCGGCCAGTTCTTAGGAATGTGTCTCCTAGTCGCAACATAGCGAGCAAGGATGCTGAGAGGATGTGCAAGATCTGGGCAAATGCAAGTCATCAGGTACATGAGGCACTCCACCAGCTCTACGTACTAACCACAGGGCAAATCAGGCTCGTTAGAGAAAGGGGCCGAGAGCTTATGGTCAACAGTCAGAGGAGTGGGGTGTATTGGTGATGTTGCTGCTGCAGAGTCACTGCCGCACCCCCAGTACCTGCACCTCCCGTGACAGCACCTCTAGGACCAACACTCCCAGTGTCAGCACCCTTCAACGACTAGCACCTCCACCTCCTCCACGACCACGACCACGACCACCCTTGCGCCGTCCGCGCCCACCAGAGGGGGCAGCGACGGCTGCAACCTGTAGCTGTAGGCTCAGCAACAGCAACAGAGGCAGATGAGGTAGGGAGTTGTGGCGGAGCGCACCCTTGAAAGATGTTGGGGACTACTCAATGAGACTAGTTACAAAGAGGACGATTGTGAGCCCACGCGACTCAGCGCGAGGCGGCCTGAGAGATACATGGGGGGGGGCTGGCTAGCAAGCTCGGCCATAGTGAGAGCAGCGGTGAAACTAGCATCAAGCAAGCGCATGTGGGTAATGAGGTCAGCGACAGTGGAGAACGCAAGGAGATCAGGGAAGAGAAAAGGCATAATGAGGCGCCCTAGAGTAGCAGAGGAGGAGGTGGAGTAGCAAGCAGTAATAGCATCAAAACCATCCTTCCCCGTCTCCACCTGGCGAAATGCACCCGCTCGGTCGGCGGGAAGAGGCGACTAATAGCCAGGGTTTAGGGTGAGCCTCTTGCTGCACCGACGTGGCGTCAGCCGCAAGAACAGGAGGACGCTGGGGGGCAGGAAGCTCACCCGAAGTGTGGGTGTACAGGGGAATGTCACACTGGAGCTGGCTCCGCAGGTCAAGCTTGATGTCGAGCAGCCACACAACAAATTCGATTGCCCGCCCCTCTGCATCGAGCCGCAGGGCGCACTCATTCGCCATAATAGGAGGGAGCAGGGGCACAGCAACAACAGATGAGAGGAGATAGCCATAGGAGGAGGAGACAGGAAAAAGGTAAACCCTGAAGTGCAACTGCAGGCACAGCGGAGGGCACAGTCGGCAGGCGCGGTTGTAGGCTCAGCAGCAGCTGCTACTATAGGCACACGTCAGGTGCAGCGGCAGGGTGCGCAGTAGGCTCACCGTAGGGCAAGACAGGGCACGGCAGCGCCCGCCGTAGGCACGCGGCAGGCGCGGGTAGCAGTCGCATGCGCGGGCAGTAGCGGCATGGGCGCGACAGGCGCGACGGAGGTAGGCGCTGGCGGTGACAGGCGCAGATGGGTGGGTAGCAAGCTCGAGCGGCGGCGATTAGGGCACGGCGGGCACGGCGGCGGTAGGCGCATGCACGTGTGCAGCAGGCGTGGGCGGCGTCATCTAGGGCGCGGTAGGCACGGCGGGTGTGGCAGGCACGACAGCGGCAGGTGCAATCATGGGCGTATGCTCAGCAGGCGCAAATGGCGGCGACACAAGCGCGGCAGTCGCAAGCTCGGCAGTCGTGGCGGGTGCGACGGCAAAAAGTGGGCGCGGCGACGGCGGTAGGTGCGGCGGCGGGGCGTCATGCATGGGTGGGGCGGCGGGGCCGTCATGCGGGGCGTTAGGGCGGGGCGCGACGGCGACGGGGCCACGACAGGGACGCGGTGGGGCGGCTAGGCGGGGCGCGACGGGGCCGCAAAAGTGGAGGGGGGGAGGAGGGGGGGGGGGGGGGGGAGGTGGGGAGGAGGGGGCGCAATAGGGCGGGGCGCTAGAGGGGCGCAACGGGCGCCGCTAGAGGGGCGCACTAGGGTTAGCTAGGGGAGGCGGGGCGGAAGCGAGGGTCCTAAACCTAGCGTGATACCATGTCAGAAAGTGAACGAACGACTAGGATGAGGGCATCTCGTTGAGATATGAAGCAATCCAAACCCGCTATATCACAACCTAGTCTAGCCTACAAGAACACATGCAAATATAACGTATGTATGTGTATTGCTGATTTATACTCACTTCTGCGTGACTGGGTTGCAATATAAAAATGGAGGCAAACACATAAAGTTTCCTTTCAATTCTTCTAAAAAGTCGGTGTCATATCACGGCACCTGGGCATACTATACATTTGTAGCCTCTGTTAAATAAGATCACTTGTCGTTTCTGTTTTGTTTTTTATCTATGACCCTAGGGTGGAATATCTGGGTAATTATGGCATCACATTAGGACCACTAGATATATAAATCATATGGAGGATTTGTGTGAATATTGCTACTACAGATGATCCCCTTTAGTTTTTGTGTAGAGTCTATCCGCAACATACGCCGCTCCTGCCTCGCAGGAACTGGCGAACAATTGTGGCAGCCCCGACCATTATGAGCGGTGCGCCAGTTTTGTTCCGGTTTACTGCACTGCACTGTACCCTTTTCCACCCCGCGGCTCGGGGTCGATAATTTACACGCCTCCCTCTGCTTCCATTCATCACTCCCACCCGACGAGAGCTGTGGAAAACTAGCAGCAGAGCAGGCGCCGCGAAACGCGCTGGTCGAGTATGCGCCTCTCGTGACCACCTCGTCGTTGTTCTTTGCGCGAGGTCTTGAAAATTGGGAAGCGATGCTCAAGTTGCTGGCTCGTAGATAATTGCAGTTGCGTCAGTAGCAGCAGAACGGACCCCTCCGCGACAGCGGTCGCTACTTGAGGTATCATGCGCTGGGACAGCCTGTTTCTCGAGTCATGTAATTAGTGCACCCAAAGCTATCTTTGGTTTTCTAGAGGAGTTCGGAAGTCTCATTAGGTGGGCGCAATGTCGCCACTTTGCGACTGCTGTGGACTTTTTGGTAGGAGGCAGAATAAGAATCACCGGTGGTTCTATGTCAACGAGCCTGCCAAGAACAGCTCCTTCGGTTTCAGCTGCAACAAAATTCGCACGGCAAAATACAGATGGTACTCGTACATCCCGAAAGCGCTCTTCGAGCAGTTCTGCCGCGTCGCGAACATTTACTTCCTCTTCCACGCGCTCGTGTCGCTCACGCCCGCGTCGCCCGTGAGCCCGCTGACGACCATCGCGCCGCTAATGTTCGTCGTGGGCCTGGCCATGCTCAAGGAGCTTTTCGAGGACGTCAAACGCGGGCGTTCCGACACGGAAATCAACCACCGGAGAGTCATGGCCATCCGGTCTGACGGGTCGGAGGAGGCGTGCGTGTGGCAGGCGCTGCGCGTGGGGGACCTGGTGAAGGTGCACCGCGATTCGTTCTTCCCGGCGGATTTGATATGCCTCGCAACAAGCGGCGATCGCGGCGCGTGCTTTGTCGATACGATGAGTCTCGACGGCGAGACGAATCTGAAGACGCGCAACGCGATCAGCGAGACGAACGCCATGTCGCTCGCGGAGCTCGCGGGGCTCCGGGGGCGCGTGGAGTGCGAACACCCCAGCGCCGCCATCTACACGTTCGTCGGCAATATGCGACTCGGCGTCGACGCGGGCAGTTACGACGAGGAGAAGGAGGCGGAGGAGGAGGCGACGGGAAACCCGCCGCTGTTCCTCGGGCCTGACAACATTCTCCTGCGCGGGTCGCGGTTGCGCAACACGGGGTGGGCGGTGGGCATGGTGGTGTACACGGGGCGGCAGACCAAGGTCATGATGAACTCCACCGACCCGCCCTACAAGCGAAGCTTCGTGGAAAGGCGGCTGGACTACGTGATCATATTCGAGGTGGTGCTGCTGCTGACGCTCGCCGCGGGCTCAGCGGTGGTGTTTGCGCTGGCGCTGGCGCGGCTGATGCCCGCGCAGTGGTACTTGCGCCCGCACGACTACAGCGGGCTGTCAGGCATCGCGTATGTGCAGTTCGACTGGACGGAGCCGGAATACGCCGCCATCTCGCAGTTCTTCACGGGGCTTGTTCTATACGGTGGGTGCCCCCGGTGCTGTGCGGTGACGGCGGGTTATGTGGGAGTGCTAGTAGTGACGGTGGGTTGCAGACCATGTTGTTGTACGTCATATCAGATAGGTCGATGTGCTCGCCGTCGCAGGCCTACCTCTCTCATCCCACTTGCACCCTTCCCCCCCCTACGACCCCCCTGTTGCACGGGAGTGCAGGGTACTTTGTGCCCATATCGCTGTACGTGACGGTGGAGCTGGTGAAGCTCACGCAGGCCGTGCTCATGGCGCGCGACGCCCTCATGTACTTCCACGACCGCCAAGTGCCCGCCACCGCGCGCACCTCCAACCTCAATGAAGAGCTTGGCATGGTGAGCGCTGGGGGGGCATGGTGAGCGCTGGGGGGCATGGTGAGCGCTGGGGGGCATGGTGAGCGCTGGGGGGCATGGTGAGCGCTGGGGGGCATGGTGAGCGCTGGGGGCATGGTGAGCGCTGGGGGGCATGGTGAGCGCTGGGGGGCATGGTGAGCGCTGGGGGGCATGGTGAGCGCTGGGGGGCATGGTGAGCGCTGGGGGGCATGGTGAGCGCTGGGGGGCATGGTGAGCGCTGGGGGGCATGGTGAGCGCTGGGAGGGGATGGTGAGCGCTGGGAGGGGATGGTGAGCGGTGCCGTCCTGGTGAGAGTGCATCCTCAGTTTAATCCCCCTGAGCTTAGTTCTCTCCCTCTGACTCTCCCCCTCTCCCCACGTGTGACCCCCCTCTCTCCCCCTCTCTCCCCCTCTCTCCTCCACTCCCAATCTCCCCCTTCCCCCCGTTCCCCGCTCCCCCTCGCCTCCCTCACGCGGGGTGCATGGTACGGCAGGTGCAAGCGATCCTATCGGACAAGACGGGCACGCTGACGCGCAACCAGATGGACTTCTTCAAGTGCAGCATCGCCGCCATCAGCTACGGCACAGGCCACACCGAGGTCGAGCGAGCCGCCACCGCGCGCGCCGCTGCCGCCTCCGCCGCCAAGCGGCACGGCGGGGCGCGCACGCGAGGAGCGTCGGCGGGGAGGCAGCAGCAGCAGCAGCAGCGAGGGGTGTACGGGGACGAGGACGACGAGGATGACGAGGAGGCGGAGGAGGACGAGGACGGCGCGCAGTACATGCGCGAGTACGTGCCCACGAAGCCTCTGGAGAAGGGCTTTAACATGCGCGATCCGCGCCTGGACGACCTCAACTGGCGCTACCAGAGCTCCGCGGGGGACATCCGCCGCTTCCTCGAGGTGCTCGCCGTCTGCCACACCGTCATGGCGGACAAGGGCGACGGCACGCGCGCGGGCGACGCGGGGGAAGCGGAGGGGGGTATGGGCGGGGGACGCGGAGGGGACGCGGATGCGGGGTTGGGAGCGGTGGGCCCGATTGCGTCTGACGCGGCGGTGCCGAAGGTGCGGTTCCTGGCGGAGTCGCCGGACGAGGCGGCGCTGCTGGTGGCGGCGAAGCGCATGGGGTTTGTGTTCACGGGGCGCGAGGGCCGCGACGTGTGCGTGAACGAGTACGCGAAGCACTGGAAGCTCGTGGCGCAGCACAAGTATGCCGTTCTCAACACCTTCAAGTTCACCAGCCACCGGTACGCGCGGAACCGGGGGTAGCGCGGGGGGACGGGAAGGACGGGGGCGACGGGGGGAACGGGGGGGGCGGGGAGGACGGCGGGGGGGAAGCATGGAAAGAACGGGGAACTGAACGGATCGGGTTTTGGTTTGCTCTACGCTAAGGGCCTTCGTCGCGTTTCCTTGTACTGCTGCCTGGCGTGCTCCCTCCTTACTAGCTTTCCAACACGTCTAAGAATGGCCCTTTCCCGCGCGCTCCTCTCTCCCGCCTCCCCCTGTTGCACTGCGCGGCAGCAAGCGCATGAGCGTGATTGTGCGCACGCCGCTGTGCAGGCTGGTGCTGATGACGAAAGGCGCGGACTCGGTCATCATGGACCGCCTCGCGCCCTCCCCCTACGCGCAGCGCTACCGCGCGGCGACGCAGCGGCAGATGAACCAGTACGCGGAGGCGGGGCTGCGCACGCTGGCGGTGGCTTGGCGCGACGTGGACGACCGGGAGTACGCGGAGTGGCAGGCGCGGTGGGAGGAGGCGCAGGGGTTTGTGGGGGACGCGGGCGTGCAGGCGGGGAAGTTGGATGCGCTGGCGGATGAGATGGAGCGCGGGCTGGAGCTGCTGGGCGCGACTGCTATCGAGGATAAACTACAGGTGCGGACTTGCTGAGATGCCGAATCTGTACACACATGCCCCACAAACTGGCAAGCGGTTATGGTGAAACTATTTGAATCCTCATCACTTGCAAATCCACTTTGCATGTCTTCCTAATCCGCTTCCCTCTTTCATGCTTAAGAAGATTATTTTCTCTCATTTCCATCACCCTCTCATGTCCCGATTGTGTCCCACCTCCCCCATTACTCCTACCTCCCTCCCGCCCCCACCCCCTCCCATGCGCTGTCACCTTATCCAGGTGGGAGTGCCACAGACAATCGAGTCGTTAGCGCGGGCGGGCATACGGCTGTGGGTGATGACGGGCGACAAGCTGGAGACGGCGGTGAACACTGGGTTTGCGTGCCGGCTGCTGCAGCAAAGCATGCAGCAGCACGTGCTCTTCCTAGAGGACAACGACGCCATGCTCGCTGCCGCTGACAAGGCTGGCATGGACCCCGACGAGGTGCGTGTGCCATGCCGGCAGGTGCGGGGGGGAGGGTTGGGGATGATGCGAGGGAATAGGAGGGTGCGGGAGGGAGTGGGGAAAGGGGGAACAAGAAGTGGACTAGTTGTACGCGGGGCAGCAGCAGCTACAGTTAGACCAGCACAGACTTGAGCCAACCACATGCCTCCCTCATCCCGCATCTTCCTTCCCTGCCCCACCCACCCCCCGCATGCCCATGCCCATGCGCAGTACGCATTCAAGTCCATTCAGGAGCAGCTGGCGAAGGCAAAGCAAGCATCGGCGCAGCTGCGTGCACACGGCATCGCACCCATACCGTCCTTCTCCCCACCCTCACCGTCCCTCTTCGCCGCCTCATCCGACACCAACTATGACTCAGACACCAATGATGACACGTCAGCAGAGGGTGGAGAGGACGGCAAACCCTCCGGCCACCCGCTGACAGCAATCCCACCGAGGCAAGCCCTCATTCTGGACGGCAAGGCGCTCGCCCTCATCCTCACACAGCCCGCGCTCGCACACGACTTCCTGGAAGTTGCCGCAGGGTGCGCGTCGGTGATCTGCTGCCGCATGTCCCCCGGGCAGAAGGCGGTGATCGCCGGGCTGGTGCGCGAGCAGATGGGGCTCATCACGCTGGCCATCGGCGACGGCGCCAACGACGTGGGCATGATCCAGCGCGCCAACATCGGCGTGGGCATCGTGGGCGAGGAGGGCCGCCAGGCCGCCATGGCTGCCGACTTCTCCCTGGGGCAGTTCCGCTTCCTGGAGCGGCTGCTGCTGGTGCACGGCGCGTGGAACTACGTGCGGCTGACGGGCATGATAAAGTACTTCCTGTACAAGTGCCACACGTTCGCCTTCACCATCTTCTTCTACAACGCCTTCACGCTCTTCTCCGGCACTCCTGTTTACTACGACTGGCTGCTCGTGCTCTACCCACTCGTCTTCAGCTCGCTGCCCGTGGCAGTGCTGGGGGCGTTTGATCAGGATGTCAAGGACACGTACCGACTCAGATACCCGCAGCTCTACACGCTGGTTCGTGCTCCCTGTTTCCGCCCCTTTTCTCGTCATGTTTCCTCCTTCGTCGCGCCACCCCTGCCCAAACCTTTTCGTCCCCTGTGTGCTCGTAGTGTCTTGTAACCCGCTTGCTGTTGTGCCCATCCGTTCGTCTACTTCTCACACCCATACCAGATGCCAGTCACTCGATCACCACACTCACTGCCCCATGCGCACTGCCCATCATCCCACGCCCTCCACACCCCCACCCCACAGGGCCAGCGCAACAGCAACTTCACGTGGCGGTCGCTGCTGCTGTGGATGCTCAAGGGCGACCTGCAGGCGCTCACGCTCGTGCTCCTCTGCTTCCTGCCCTTCCTGCTCTCCGCGTCGGGCGCTGATGGGCGCAGCATGGACCTGTCGGCGCAGGGCACGCTGCTCTTCACGGCGCTCGTCGTCACCGTCAACCTCGAGATGGCCAGCACGCTGCAGGTGCGTGGGGGCGAAGGGGGAAGGAGGGGGGAAGGAACAAGGATTTTGAGAGGTTCGTGAGGGTTTCATCCTGCTCGCACTCACTGTGCTCTCTGACCTCATCCTGCTCACATGGCCAGGGTGCTGCGGATGTGCACGTGCCTCTCCCCTTACCTAGCCACCTGCCACTTACCCGTATCCTCTCCTCCCTCTTCCCCTCTCCCCCTCCCCGCACCCCTCTCCACCGGCCCTTACCGCGCAGTACTGGACGATCATACACCACGTGGCCATATGGGGCTCCATCGCGCTCTGGTTCCTCTTCCTCTGGCTAGTGAGCCGCCTGCCGCCCGCGTGGTCCGACTCCTTCCACGGCGTGGCGGACGAGCTGCTGCTGCGCCCCTCATTCTACCTCACCGTGCTGCTCGCCACCGTCTTCGCGCTCCTGCCCTCCTTCGTCGTGCGCGCCATTGCACGGTGCGCGCTCCTGCGCCGCAGCTCTCTTTCGCGTCGCCACCGCCGTGCTGCTCGCAGTGCAAGCTGGCGCTGTCCGCTCCTCCGCTTTCCCGCTCCCACCCTCCCTCTCCTCCCTCCCCTCCTTCCATTCCCTCCCCTGCCCCCTTTCCCCCCTTTCCCCCCTTTTCCCCATTTCCGCCTTGGTCTTCCACTCCCCTCTGCCGCCCGCTCTCCCCGCCCCCCCCCCAGGCACGTGGCGCCCACGGACGTGCAGATGGTGCAGGAGATCGAGCGCCGCGACAGATGGCGCTGGCTGCGCGGCTCCGCGTCCGGCAGGTACAGCGCGTCCGTCTCCTTCGCCGCCCGCGCGTGAGCCCCCCAATGTCCGCGCGCCACTCGTACGGTGGACGGAAAGGTTGACGCAAGGGCGACCGATACGATCAACAGCGGAGGTGGCGGTGCTGCTGGTTCTCTTCTGCCTGCTTCATCCGCGCTCCTTTCTCGCTGCTCAGAGCTCACCGGATCGTTGTAACTGTTGCGATATTAACTCTCAGGATAAACGTGCCCCTTGGGGTTGGGAACGACACGTAGGGAGGGCACCTTGGGATTGGGTTGCTGGAATGGGTGTCTTGTAGGTCATAGGTCGGCAGGCTATTTGGTTAGGTAGGATGCATGCGTTGGTGTATTGTAGTTGTGTAACGTAATCATACAACGTCTATTTACTTGGTCATACGGTACTCATGCAGCTTGTGAGAGTTATTGAAGTAGTGATGTGGATAGGCTGCCTCTGTGTTAGCCTATAGCGAGTGGCATCAAAGCTGGATTGCATTGGATGAAGATGAGTGATACGGGAGTTATCAAAGCACTGACAAGCACACAACAACAGTATCTACCACTTGCCTCAGTCTGTGGTTGATAGTGTTGTACACCTACCCCTTACGACCCACTTCCTACGTTTAGGACCGCACTGCACCAAGCAGAAGCACCTACCATACGAAATGCTGTAGTACCCGCGCAGTTTTAGTTACCTGCAGCTTTTGTTGAAAATCCGCCAATTGACCTTATACACAAGCATACGAGCCCAGGCACTGCACTCAGCATACACCCTCTGCTCCTTGCTGTCTTGCTGCAGTTGTTCCTGAGAGTTAGAGTTCAGAGGGTTAAGGTGCTACTACTAAAAACTCTTCCAGCATCCGCTCTTCATCGCAAACCACCTTGAACAAGACTGGCACCCTTGCTCCTAGATCCTAGCTAAATCATCAAATCAACCCTGTTCCTCGCCTCCTTCGTCCTGCTGCCTGGTCGTTGTCCCTGCACGCACACGCCTCCTCCTCCGTCTGCTCCCCACAGGACTGACACCCTCCACTAGTTCTCCGGAAACAGCATCTGCCGTTGTTTCTGTTGCTGCTGGAGCTGCTTCTACCGTTTCTGCTGCTTCAGCTGCTGCAGCTGCTGCTGCTGCTGGTGGTGCTGCTGCTGTGGAATCCACGGGTGTGGCAGCATCAAGACCTGGGTGGGAGACTGAAGAGGCAGCAGCAGCAACGGGGGTTGAGAGCGACGTGTCAGCAGCCAATGTGGAGAGTGGTGGGGTGGAATTGGATGCAAGAGAGGTAGAGGTGGGTTCGGAAGAGGAGGTTGATGTTTCTTGCGTTGGAGGGCTGAGTGTTGTGTTAGGGCCAGATGCAAGGTCAGGGAGAGCAGAGTGAGGTGGAGGAGGACGAGGATGAAGATGCGGGAGAGGGTGTGGGGGAGAGGTCGAGGTTGTGAGGGAGAGGGGAGGGAGGCGTGTAGTTGGGTGTTGGCTTGAGCACTGCTCTGTAGAGAGCACGACTCTCCTTCAACCCACGTACTGTCCCCCGTGTATCCATCCACTCCTCCCACACCTGTTGCCCCCCTTCCCCCACCCTCTCACACACACACACACACACACACACACACACACACCCACACACACCCACCCACCCACCCACCCACCCACCCACCCACCCACCCACCCACCCACACACACACACACACACACACACACACACACACACACACACACACACACACGTACACAAGAGCATACACACAGAGACATTGAAAGAAAGTGAGCACGTATGTATGTATGTGAGCACGTATGTATGTATGGGAGCACGTATGTATGTATGTGAGCACGTATGTATGTATGTGAGCACGTATGTATGTATGTGAGCACGTATGTATGTATGTGAGCACGCATGAATGTATGTGAGCACGTATGTATGTATGTGAGCACGTATGTAGGTATGTGAGCACGTATGTATGTATGGGAGCACGTATGTATGTATGTGAGCACGTATGAATGTATGTGAGCACGTATGTATGTATGTGAGCACGTATGTATGTATGGGAGCACGTATGTATGTATGTGAGCACGTATGTAGGTATGTGAGCACGTATGTATGTATGGGAGCACGTATGTATGTATGTGAGCACGTATGAATGTATGTGAGCACGTATGTATGTATGTGAGCACGTATGTATGTATGGGAGCACGTATGTATGTATGTGAGCACGTATGTATGTATGTGAGCACGTATGTATGTATGTGAGCACGTATGTATGTATGTGAGCACGTATGTATGTATGTGAGCACGTATGTATGTATGTGAGCACGTATGTATGTATGTGTCTTTGCAGCCAGACACACTCACGGCCACACATACGAAATATGTGCCCACACAGACGCACACATTTAAATGTCAATGTACCGATTTATGCATGTGCGAGTGAGTGTGGGTGAGAGAGAATGTGGGCGAGCTTGAATCTGTGCACGTTCGAGTGTGTGCACATGTGAGTGTGCGCAAGTGTGAGTCTGTGCAGTGGAGCAGCAGGGCACCTGCAGCTGGTAGGAGCGCAGGGCGAGCATGGTGGCGGGCATGAGGTGAGCGTGCGGCAGCAGCGCGTCAGCCAGCACGTGCAGGTCCTGCTGCTCGCCCAGAATGCTCTGCAGCCGCTTCACTCGCTGCAGCGCCCCTGGGAAGCGGCCGCCCGGCGAGTATGCCACCTCCAGCAGGTCCATGCGGTACCGCAGCTCTGCCGTGGGGCAGGCGTGTGCGCACAGATGCAGCGAGGGAGAGGGAGAGGGGGAGGGAGAGGGAGAGGGAGAGGGGGAGGGGGAGGGGGAGGGAGAGGGAGAGCGGCAGAGAGGCATAAGTCAACACACTATTGCAAAATTGTTTGAACAGACGTGCAAACATGCAGGCGTACGCACAGACCCATCTTTGCTTCTCCCATGCCAACTGATACACACAAACAAACACACGCTCGGAGATATAACCCCCCAAGATTTCCCACGTGCACACATGTGGCACGCATTAGCATGGGGCAATGCAGCAGGTGGATGGTGCAATAGGTGAGACATGCAGTGCAGTGCACATTGGGCACCGCCAACATGTACATGCCATGGGAGAACACGAGCGAGAGAAACAACTGGTAAAGTGCTAGAGGCGAGGGGTTGAGGAAATGTCAAAGGAAGGGAAGGAGTGAGGGGGGAGGGGGGGGTTGAAGAGGGGAGGGGAGAGAGGGGAAGAAGGGGCGAGGGCAGGCAGCAGAGGTGAGAGAGATGGCTTGCCTCGGAGCAGCTTGCGCAGAGCATGCATGTGGTCCATGACGTCATGCCTGTACACCACCGTGTGCCGCTCACCACCACCACCACCGCCACTACCGCCACTACCGCCACTGCCACCATCACCATCACCATCAGCATCACTGCCACCACTGCTGCTGCTGTTGGTACTGCTGGTGGTGCTGGTGGTGGTTTCCTGCTGCTGCTTGTGAGCAGCCCCCGGAGTGACCTCCAGGGTCACGAGATCTACAACCCATGGCGCGACAGGTGCGGTTCAGGTGGCGCATGGCAAAACGAGGGAGGAACAGGGAGATGGTGGGGGTGGAAGGGAACACAAGGTGTAAGTCTTTGGGAGGGAACCGGGAGTACGGAAAGTGATGGGTGGCAAGATGCAAGGAGAGAGCAGGATACTAGGTGGCAGAGAGGGAAGCGAAGGAATGGTGCACGAGGGTGTGGGCGACGGCGGCGAGGGAGATACCATCTATGGACCAGGCATGGTCGAGCAGAGCGGCGGCAATGTGTGGGGTGAGCAGAGAGGGCGCGGAGAGCGCCACGTGCTGCTGCAGCAGCACTGCTGCTGATGGCGACTGCAGCTTCACACCCCGTGCACACCGCTGGTGTGATGTGCACACACAGGGGGGGAGAGGAGGGCAGGGGTGAGGAAGGGAGGGGTGTGGGATCGCATGTACATAGGGAGGAGGAGTAGTTGTGTTGGGAGATGCGGGGATGATGGAGTGGAGGTGTGAGAGGGAAAGAGAGGGGGAGGAGGAGAATGGTGAGGGAGGAGAGGAGAAGGTGAAGGTGAGGGTTAACTGGTGTTGGCTTCACGTGGAAGGTGTGGAGCAAGGAGTCAGTGTGTGGAGCAGCATTACAGCTCAGCACCGCACCGTAGAGCACGGCACAGCACACAACACAGAACAGCACGACAACTCCAAAGAACGACAATCCCCGACGGCAGACCCCTGCATGCAGACCCCTTTCTCTATCAGCACACACCCCAACACCTCGTATCATATGAATACCCCTCCTATAACCCTAACCACTCCCCCCTCCCCCCAATACCCCTACCAATCCCCCATCACCTGGCCACTGCCCCGCAGGCGCGCACCTCAAGTGCGTGCATGATGTGCCGCGCGTCCTTGCCGGCAGTGGCAGCGAGGGCGGCGCGCAGCAGGCGCCTCTGTCGCTTGCGCACGGCATGCTCAAAGCGCCCCACCGCCCGCTGCTCGCCCCGCGCCTCCTCCGCCCCACGCGCGCCCACGCGCTGTTGCACTGCTGCCAGCGTCTCCTGGCAGGGCAGGATGGCGAGGGGGAGGGGAGAGGGGAGAGGGGAGAGGGGAGAGGGGAGAGCGGAGAGGGGAGAGGGGAGGGGGGAGGGGGGAGAGGGGAGAGGGGAGAGGGGAGAGGGGAGAGGGTGAAGGGGGGAGGGAGGAGGGGGGAGGGGGGAGGGGGGAGGGGTTAGGGGGGAGGGGAGAGGGGAGAGGAGGAGGGCAGAGAGGAGGCCAAGGAGGGCAGTGAGGAGGGGGACAGGCATGAGCAGCAGGAGCCGTGGCAGCGTGTGTGGCATGGAGGCAGGTGGGCTCACTGGTGCAACAGTGAAGGTCGCACCACCAGCAGTGCAAGCCCTAAACCCTAAACCCGCTCAAGGGTGTCCCATGCCCATGCCCATGCCCATGCCCATGCCCATGCCCATGCCCATGCCCTTGCCCTTGCCCATGCCCATGCCCATGCCCATGCCCATGCCCATGCCCATGCCCCTGTTCATTCCACGGCACTTCACCCTTCCGAGCACTGCGGCACAGAAGGAGATGCTCCATGCCGTTCACGCCACCTCTCTTCGCACATCCCCAAAACCCATCACTTCAAAGCATGACGTCAGCATCTCTCACCAGCATGACGTCAGCATCTCTGACTGCCCCCAGTGAGCGCAGCAGTTTCCCCAGCGCGCGCGGCCTGAGGGCGTCAGGCACCTCTGGGGGTTGGGGGGGGAAAGGGAGGGGGGGAAAGAGGGGAGGGAGGGGGGTGCGGGGAGAAGAGGGGGAAGGGCGGAAGGGGTGGTGGAGGGGTGCGACAGGAAAGCTTTGCAGAGCTGTGAGTAAACAGCCTGTTGGGCGGTGTGTGCGCGTGGCGTGGAATGGCAACGAACGGTGTACAACAAGGAAGTGGGCATGTAGAGGGTGGTGGAAACGCGCGAGTGCATGAGCGTGTGTGTGAGCGTGTAAGGAAAGACGGGAGTAAGGAGAGATGGGGGGGGAAGAGCAGCAGGGGGGGCAGCAAGCAGTGGCAACGGGAGATGGGGAAAGGGAGGGGGCGGGCGTACGGATGAATGGGGAGAAGACGGAAATGGTGGAGCGCAGGCGCCGCACCGCCACCCGGAGGTCGTGCACTGCCTCCACGTCCTGCCACGCCACGCACGGCGGGGAGCAGCGGGGGGCGGTCGGGTGCGGTGAGTGGTGGGCGCATGTGGAGAGGGTTTAGGGCTTGTAAGAGTGCGGAGCGGATAGCATGGACGATGGCGAGGGGCGCGCAACAGCAACGGCAGCAACAGACGACTCGCACGTGCAGAGCCATGCGCGCATGGCACGACGAACGCGACCATGCACAGGGAGGGAGCGAGAGAGAAAGAGAGTAAGGGAGCGAGAGAGAAAGAGAGTAAGGGAGCGAGCGAGGGAGCAGGCAAGGCGCGGCGTACGGGTTGCAATCGCAGGCGCTCCATCTCGGCGCTGCACGAGACGTGCGCGGCGGCGAGCGCGGAGTCAATAAGGTCCGCGAGACTGCCGTCCCCAAGCGCCTCGTCCTCGCTGCTGCTGCTCTCTGAATCCCCCGCGTCCGGGAAGCCCTGCGCGGGCGGAAGCGCGTGCTGATGGGGGGCATGGCAAGAACAGCGCGCAAGAGAAGCTGATAAGTGTGACAGTCAGTGAGCAAATGGGCAAATACGGTTCCTCTATTGCACACTCGCAGCTCCGAGTTGCCACCCGTTCCGTCGTCTCCCCTCCGTGGGGCGCAATCGACGAAAACACCCCTCAGTATATGTGACCTGAGAAACCAACCTCTCGCACCTCATCTTCCACCACAGAAGGGTAATCAACGTCAGGATTCTCCGTGGTATCCGTCTTCTCCGCGGAATGGCCGAATTTTCCGTCCGCTGATGCTTCTAGAAAGTCCGCGCCGCCACCCTGCACCGACCACACCCGTGTGCTGCGTCGCGCCGCTCTCCTCGCGACCGACGCCGCCAGACAAGACGACAACGCCACGCCGCGTCGCGCTGACGAGCGGGAGGAGGAAAAGGCGGATGATATCCGCGACGACGCGGAACGGCTTGCGGACGCCACGTGGCAGCATATGGATGGTTGCAGAAGCGTACGGTTCGTCCTTACTAGGCGACCGACCGCGGCAGCTCCTGAGCATCTCGTGCAGGCAGCCATGCCGAAGAAGCTGGGAGGAGAGGCAGCAGTCGGGTGGGTAGACAGGGCGAGGCAGCGAGAAGAGGCGCAGTGCGAGGTGGAATTTAGGAGCGAATTGAGTTGAACTTGAAATATCTTGGTGGGAATTTCTGAGGTGAGCAGTCCGGAATTTCATGGATATCCTGTGGTTTCTGCAAGCTGATCTCTAGGAGAAATCTGTGCAACCACTTGATGGCGCAGAAATACAGTCGAGAGCGGAGGGGAGCGTCCCCGACATAAATATGTGTAGCTCCTGGAATGGACTGGAGAAGCGGAGTGTGATTTCTGTCCTGCTAATGTACTTCACATTCAGATGGAAAAATATCACAACCCAAGCCTAAGCAAGTGAATGTTGTGGTGACCAGGGCTTACTTTTCAGGAATAACAATCAGCCTCGGGTTGGAAAGATGTATATAAATTTACTATTGAATTCAAAACATTGTAAAAAGTCTGACTTCAGGGGCGTGTTGAGTGGAACTCCTGGATTGCTAATATCCAGAAAGTTTAGGAAACAGTAGCTGAGGTACTTAGAACAATATATGAAACCTTAATTCAACGCACTGAACCGTAGTGATCGACCAACACCATCAATCCCTCCCATTTCGGTTATGTGAGAATTGCGTTGTCGTGATGCCTGACCCAGCAAGCGCGGAAGTGCTGCTTGCTGTTTCGATGCTCCTTCCCAACCAACTTTTTTCGCAGGCGAGCCCCGCCGCAGTTCCCGCTCTCCAATCCAACCCAGCACGGTTTCCACCACCCCACATGCAGGTCAACCTCAACAGCACCTGTGACTCGCACAAACCCTCACTGAAAGAAGTCACAGGCATTCTGCGTTTGTGTTTAGTTCACAGCTAGCCGACCTACAGATAAAAGGATGTCAGTCTAGTTCAAAGTAGGAGCTTGCAACGCTTCACAAGCTAGTTATTCACAAATATTTTCTGGTACGCTGTCTTGTGAGCTTTGGTTCTTCGGAGTGGTCTAGGCCAGCATCCGTTTTATCTGCGAGTTAGGCCAAGATGGGTCGCTTTGTTATGCTTGCCGTTGCTGCGGTCGTCATCGTTTCGCTCTACTCGTCGTATCCAGTCGCTGCATATCCCGTCGCGGGAGGCTGGTCTGTCGTCAAAGATGCATATAAGAATAAAGACGTGCTGGAGCTGGCCAGATTTGCCGTCGAACAACATAACACTGATAAGGTGCGACAAGTGCATTCTTCGGTTCTCGTTTGTTAATGTTTCTCCCTCCCGCGCTAGCATACTTTTCTTGTCTTCAAGGGGACTGGTCCAGAACATGCTTGTATGTATAAGTGAACTTTGTTATATGAATTCCGCCCTCACCCTTTTCCCGCACTTACTTCGGACCAACCCCCCTTTCTCTCTCTCTCTCTCTCTCTCTCTCTCTCTCTCTCTCTCTCTCTCTCTCTCTCTCTCTCTCTCTCTCTCCCTCCCTCCCTCCCTCCCTCCCTCCCTCCCTCCCTCCCTCCCTCCCTCCCTCCCTCCCTCCCTCCCTCCCTCCCTCCCTCCCTCCCTCCCTCCCTCCCTCCCTCCCTCCCTCCCGCCCTCCCTCCCTCCCTCCCTCCCTCCCTCCCTCCCGCCCTCCCGCCCTCCCGCCCTCCCGCCCTCCCGCCCTCCCGCCCTCCCGCCCTCCCCCCCTCCCTCTCTCTCTCTCTCTCTCTCTCTCTCTCTCTCTCTCTCTCTCTCTCTCTCTCTCTCTCTCTCTCTCTCTCTCTCTCACACACACACACACAACACACTTGCGCACCACACCCACACCCGCACTTAGTCGCACACTCACACTCCCAGCCGCTCTTTTCCAACTCATCCGTGCCTGTCCTCCCTCCACTGTATTCCCACCACCGCCGCCATGCTTGCCATGCGCCAGAACACCAACCTCCGGTTTGATTCCGTCACAGCTGCATGGCGCCAAGTGGTGGCCGGCCTCAAGTGGAGAATCGTCCTGCGTGCCGTGGACCCTGCGCGTTCCGCCACCAAGGGGCGGGCACCTCCCAAATTTGTGGCAGAGATTTGGGAAAAGTCGTGGGAAGACTTTCGCCAATTGCTATCTTTCCAGGAGGTGACGCCCTCTGCAAGGCGCAACTCACTGGATTAGAAGTCTTGCAATGGAGGCATTGGTTACAAGCTACCATGCCCTAAAGGTTCACATGTGTCAAGGCTCACCTTTTCTGTGAATAGGGACGATTCATTGAGGCAGGTTGTGGTTAGGCAGGAGCAAGGCCTTCAGGGCATGTTATAACTGTGAGATGTAGTTGGCCCTTTTCCCACTGATCTATGAACCCTTAAAGATCGTAGTTGGACTTGACTACGATTTCAAGAGAAGGGTGTGAAACAATAGGAGTTCCCTAAGCAAGGTCATTCTACCATGTACCGAAGTGTCTTTTCCTACAGTCGCGCTATAACCATCGTCCGAACCTTGCCCAGCTATGCGGCCTGTGCGCTCCACCACCACCGTCCACTTCCCCATACCCGCGTAAAACCAACTGGGCGGAAGGAATTGCGCCTCTGACTCAACTCAACTCCCAAGGCACATGCGCGCACCCCCTCTTCCCCTCCCAACTTCCCCGTTTCCCCCTTTCCCTCTTCCCCCCTTCACTCCGAGAACCTCCAAGCTGATTGCGTTTTTCCGCCCGCCCCGAGCACAGCCACCCCCAACAACGCCAACTTGGACCCATTGTGTGTCACGCGCGTCCTCCGCGCCGCAACTAGAGCTTGTGACTCGGCGCTTCACCAGTTGCTTCGGAGCGCGGGCCTTAGGTGGACGGCTTGAGCAGGGCGTGGCTTAGCGCATTCTCTAGATGCTGGTGTTGCGCTGCCGCGCACCGCAATAACTGCTCGTGACTACTCAATACGCCGCATCGTCCTGCACTTCCTTCCCTCTCCCTCCGCTCCCTTCCCTGCCCATTCATTCTCAATCTCTCACTCGCTCTTTCATTCACTCTTTCCCCTCTTCGATTGTGCGCATTGGCGTCGCCTTGTCCGTGTGCCGCCATCCCGCCGACGCGTACGCATGGAGCCTGATGCTCTCGCCCATTCGTCGCACATCGCTGCACCTGGCGACCTGTCACTAGACTCGCACGACTCGCAGCACGTCGCACACGTCGCACACAGCCACCCTCACACCCATTCGCAGTCGCGCGCGACCGACCACACCCATGCCGGCCTCGCACAGTCGTCGCTCCCATCACTGCCGCACCGCCTGCACCCCTCGCACCCGTCACACGAGGACGCGTCGCCTCCGCTCCCCCTGAAGGCCGGTCGCCTGTCGTCGCTTGGCCACGCCGCGTGCAGCTCGAGCTGCCTCGCCGACATGCGCGCCGCCTCTCCCCCGCGCGCCCGCGCGCACGGCTCTTCCTCCGACGACGCGCTGCTGCGGCATTCTGCAGGGGCGGAGGAGGCGGACGGCGCGGATGCGGGGGTGTTGCGCGAGGGCGAGGAGGGCGCGGAGGGGGTGGTGGCGGTGGGGGATGGCGTGGTGGTGGACGTGGAGCGAGTGCGGCAGGCGCAGTACGACGCGTGGCTGGTAACGCGCAGTGGGCGGGGGTCAGGGGAAGTGGGACGCGGGGAAGTGAGGAAGGGAGAGGGGGGAGAGGGATAGGAGGGATTCGTGGAGGGGGTTACTTACCGCCCAATGTTGTTGCGCCAGCTGGCTCTTTTCGCGCCCGCATACTCTCCTGTCGTCACAATGCTTTCGCTCCCCTCCTCTCTCTCTCGTCCCGTCCCTCCCGGTTTTTCAACCTTCCCGTCCCTTCCGCCGATTGTCATCCTCGTCGAGCATCCTTTGCCACGTCACCCTGACTGAACGCTGCTCGCAAACACCTATCCCCCATTCACCCGCCCTCTTCCACCCCCTTCTCCGCTCCGCCCCGCCTTTCCCCCAACCCACCATTCTCACCCCCTGCGCTCCTTCCCGCTCCGCGCACAGGAGGAGCACCCATCGGCGGTGGCGCAGTTCTCGGCGGTGGCGCGCGAGATGGGCGCGCGGCAGGTGGCGCTGTTCCTGGACTACGACGGCACGCTCGCGCCCATCGTTGACAACCCCGACCAAGCCTTCATGCCGCCCGGGGTGAGCGCGCGGGGAGGGGCGGGCAGGGGGAGTTTTAGGGTATGGATGAGGGGCGAGAGAGGAGCTGTGATTCGTCTGGCTCTTTCTTGCTTGCTGTGGGGGAGGGGGAGGAGAATGAGGATAAGCGTGGTGCAGTGCCATACGACGGGCATTGTTGTTGCTATGGCAGGGGAATTGCGGAGCAATGCAGTGTGAGTGCGTCTCATGCACACCTGTATACCTGCACCTGTGAACGCGGAGCAATGCAGTCTCTGCCACCCCTTTCCCCTCCCCTTTTTTTCTGTCCTTCCGTCCTCCCCCAACTGCCTGCCTTGACACCACGGCATGGGGTGCAGATGAGAGAAGCGGTGCGACAGGCAGCGCTGCACTTCCCCACAGCCATCATCAGCGGGCGCGGCAGGGAGAAGGTGTTTGAGTTCGTTCAGCTGCCCGAGCTCTACTACGCGGGCAGCCACGGCATGGACATCATGCTGCCCGCACACACGCCCTCCGCTGCCGCCCCTGCCTCTGCCTCTGCGCTCGATGCGCCTGGTGACGGGCGGCAGGGAAATGGCGCGCTGGGCGTGACTATAAAGGGCGACAGGTGCACAGATGCGCATGTGAGCTGACTGCCGTGGTGGGATGGGGGGCGAGGACGGGGCTTGGGATGGCGCAGGGATGAGGAATGGACGGGACGTGGGATGGCTGGGTGGGATGGTGAGCTGTATGACGGGTGGGTGGGCTGGGTAAGTGGGTGGAGGGTGAAGGGAAGGGGTAGGTGGGTGGGTGGCGCATGAGCTCTGGAGCACGCCCAGGGGCATCCTTCAACGTAGCAGCAGTGTCCAAATGATTGCCCTCACGCACACCTCTTGGAAATCCATCCCTTCCTGGTTGTTGTCATGCACTCCCTGCTCCCCTCATCACTCTGCTCTGCGCCCATGTTCTGTTCCCTCGCCTCGCTCCCTCCCCATGGCACGCGGCACCAGAACCACGAGGTGGTGGTGTTCCAGCCCGCCAGCGAGTTCGCACAGCTCATGGATCAGGTGCGCCGCCACTCCCCCTCCGCCCGCTCCTGCTCTACCCTCTATTCATATCTGCTCCCACCTCTTCCTGCTTCTGCTCCAGCCCACAGCCCACAGCCCACAGCCCACAGCCCACAGCCCACAGCCCACAGTCCCCAGCCCCCATTGGTGGGTCGGTCACCGAGTGTGCCTTGCTTCTCCGCCTTGTACTCAACCCTGCATCTCACTCTCGGCACGCCACATGCGTGTGTGCTGCTGCTGCTGCTGCTGCTGGCGGTTCTGGTGCTGCTGGTGGTGGCGGTGGTGGTGCTGGTGGTGGTGGTGGTGGTGCTGGTGCTGGCGGTGGTGGTGCTGGTGGTGGTGGTGGTGCTGCTGCTGGTGCTGGCGGTGGTGGTGGTGGTGGTGGGGTGCATGGCAGGTGTATGAGGAGCTGGTGCGTGTGACAGCAGGCGTGGCGGGGTCGCTGGTGGAGAACAACAAGTTTGCCGTCACCGTGCACTTCAGACGCGTGGCGGAGGAGGTGCGTGCTGCTGCCCTGCTCCCTGCACCCATAGGCCCACGCGTGGCGTGCCATGGCATGCAGGGGAGGCTGGGCAGAAAGGGGTGGCAAGGGGGGGTAGGAGGGGGAGGATGGTAGCAGGGAATGTATGGATGTGGGGGCATGGTGGGAGAGTGACTGGGAAAAGGACGGAGTGAGGAATAGCGGTAATGTGAGGGGGAGAGAAGCTTGGGACGAGCAAGAGTGGTAAGAATCGGGCCCGTCAGGGGAGGTGCTTTGTGATGAGAGTGCGGGCAGCTGAATCAGGGAACCTACAGAACAACTCATCACAAAGTTGACTGTTGCCTCTCGCTTCTCCCCCCCTTGGCGCATCACTGTCTCAACTGGGTCTTGCGCCTCCGTGCTGCCCTTGCAGTGTTGGGAGCACCTGGCAGGGCTGGTGGAGCAGGTGGTGCAGCAGCACCCGCGCCTGCGACTCTCACACGGCAGAAAGGTGACAAGTGGGAGGGTTGTCCCACAAGCGACCAGCTGAAGGCACTGCAAGTTCCTCCTTGGTTCAAGTACCCTTGCATGCGCTGCTCGCTTGTGACAGCCATCTCAGATGCTCCCAGTCTTCCGAGTCGCATGTGCTTGATTCTCCATGCTCGTGTCGATTCCCATGCGCATGCGTGCTTGTGCGACGCACATGGCAGGTGTTTGAGGTGCGCCCTGTGGTGGACTGGGACAAGGGCAAGGCCGTGCAATACCTGCTCACCACACTTGGTGCGATGCCACTGCCATGCCGTGCCATGCCATGTCGTGTTTGCCCTGATATGTCATTCCAACACTGCTCTGTGAATGCATCAGTACGTATCCTCTCTACATTATTCTCTTAAGTACATACACATGGGCTGCAGTCATGTGCATAAGCTGTTGTGTGCATACCTCGCCGCGTGCATCAGCAGCATCTGCTTGCCCACTTTGTCTCTCTCTCTCTCTCTCTCTCTCTCTCTCTCTCTCTCTCTCTCTCTCTCTCTCTCTCTCTCTCTCTCTCTCTCTCTCTCTCTCTCTCTCTGTCACTATCCTGTTCCGCCCCTCCTTCCATTCGGGGTGTCTGCTAGGCCTCAACAACTCATCTACAGTCGTGCCAGTGTACATTGGAGATGACCGGACAGACGAGGATGCATTTCAGGTAGAGTTGGGGGGAAGGGAGGGGGCATACGCTGTTTCCGTGGCACGTGCCCATTAATGGATAACTTCCATTGCTCATGCAAAGCGTGTTTTGCTCCTCCCGCCTGCTGCTTTATCCCCGTTACCCTGCCTCATTTTTGTTTTCTTATCACTCCATACCATAATTCCCGAAGAGCAGATGCTCCAGGCGAGGGGTTCAGGCTTAGGCGTCATCGTATCAGCGGCTGCGAAATCATCTGTAGCGTCGTATTCTTTGCGAGACCCTTCCGAGGTACTGTTCTGGTTTTTTCTCCTACCATCCTCTGCCATTCTTCTACCGACTTCCACTCGCATTTGCCTTTCATAGGTATCACACTGCATGGTTGCCTACAGCTTGCAAACTTGTTTAACCATCCATTGATTTGTTTCAGGTTCTGGATTTCCTCGTTAAACTAGTCCGTTGGAAGGAGCAAGGCAATTCTCTTAAATAATACGGACAGGCGTGTATAAAATTAGTTTATGTTTGCACAGTCAGCTCCTACATTGCGTGCATTTTGCTCTGTTGTCGATAGTTCATATACTGTATCTGCTCACTATGTTATTGCACGATTCAAATTCTGTTCGCTTCTAGTGACGTGTCAGGAATTGAAAGCTAAGTTGTCGCACCTGATCTCAACGCGTACAAGACTGTGCACAGGGCCTCGCTCGACTGGTCTTCTTCTCCCGTTACCAGCGTTTCCAAACCATACACTGCAGTTTTGGCCTACGCTTCGAGACTAGTAGCCCGAGCCTAGCTGTCAGCGTTGCGTAGCTTATACGGTACAAGCATCGATAGATCGCCAATATTGATCCGCTACCGCTCTATAAGCTATCTAAAACATACGAACCCCTCTAAATTTGTTTACAACCCAGGAAATAAACGATCCAGAGAGATTCGATCCAGCACTTTTATCGCGTACAGTGCTTTTCTGACCCCTTAGTGCAATCCTCGTTGTGCGTACGATTGCACTCGTAACATGCTGTCGCTACACAACCAAAAGGGGAGAGCAGAGGTCAACCAGAAAGCCACCTCAGAAGTAATGTTGGCTGCCAGCAACGCAAATATCATCATTTCTTGAACTGCGTGGCATGTGCTGAAGAGGCAACAGCAGGTGCCCAAACCAGATTCCCCAGAATTGTGTCCAGCTAGGATCCGTGTTGCCGACAACCAGCGTGGAAGCTGCATGTTCTGGATGGTCTTGTCGGTGCTGCTAGGATTTTTTCGTACTGTACGCCGCTTGCTCATCTCAAGGGTCGCGTGCTTGGCTTTTGATAAGGTCCGTCCCCCGCCAAGCTCAGGGGCCAGCCGGAATCATGTGACCATTGAATGTGGTGCGTGCGATGCGAACACCATGCTGCAACTGCGGGTGTGTTGGGGAGGTACAAAACACAGGAGAATCCCTTCATCCACCACCATTCTGAGTTGCATTTGAGGTCAGCTTCCTGAATTGCTGAACTCTCTCCATTCTGTTGTGACAACACCGGGCCTCCGTAATTTCCGGCAGCCTAGTAACCTCACAACACAGTGCTTCAAAATCGTATTGCTGCGGAAACAGCCTAAGCCATGGCCGTCTCTCGCCGTGCTCTCCAGGTACGTCTTTTAACTCTCGTGATGTGGACTCAATGGTGTTATTCGGAACGCGGTATCTAAACATTGTTTCCCTTGAGCAGAAATTTTTCCTCAATGGCGCCTTACGCCCATTTGTATCCGTCTCAAGCGCGTCGTCGACCATCAGTCAACTCGATGCGCCAATTGCATCCAACCAATCACCCACCACACCGCACTATATGAACTATTTGACACACTCCAACATTGGAACGCGCGGAATGGTCACGGCCAGGAATGTCACTCCTGGAGTCGTGAACAATCTTAATGGGGTCAAGCTGCCTATTTCCACCGCACCTGTTCATACTGCGGCTGAACCCAAGCACGACATGTTTTGCTATCAATGCGAACAGACTCGGGTGGGTTTTGTTGGGCCACACAAGTCAACCGCACTGTTCAGTTTTAAATTTGCGCTCATTGTTGAGATCGTTATTTAACTGGTACCATGTATGAACTTTCAGGACGGTAAGGGGTGCATGACTGTGGGTGTCTGCGGCAAGGATCCTCAGGCCGCTGCGCTGCAGGACCTTCTTATCCACTCTCTGAAGGGTAAGGAGTTTCGCTTTCTGCCCATGGAGTGCGTCTGTCAGAGCGCTAATGTTACCTCTTATAATTACTTTCTTTACTGCAGGTTTGGCTCAGTATGCTACTCGTGCGCGTGATTTGGGTCTTGAGATCGGTGCCGAGGTGGATTTGTAAGTTGTAACCGCTGGATGTTGTAACGCCATTAAATCTGTCCCCAGTCTGCAATATTCTTATCTCAGTCGCCTTGGAACTGCAGTTTTGTGCAGGAAGCGGTTTTCACAACCCTCACAAATGTGAACTTCGACTCTGACGCACTTCAGCAATACGTGACGGAGGCAATTCGCCAGCGCGATGCTCTCAGGTAATGTGGTCAACAGTGCTACATTTCTCTGATGCTAATCTTCCATGAAGTAACGTTAAATTGCTGTAATGTGAATGCAGGGCGAAGTATTTGGCTGCTGGTGGGAAAGAGGAAGCTGACTTGAAAACTCATCAGGCAACCTTTGAGCTTGGCGGATCACTCGATGACATTGTGGAACAGGGACGCGGAGTTGGCGTTGAGACACGTCGTGCGGGATGGGATGAAGATATTTTCAGCCTGCAAGAGCTGTTGGTATATGGCGTGAAGGGAACTGCTGCGTACGCAGCTCACGCATATGCAGTAGGAAAGGTTTGTATCCAAAATCCGTTCCGTGTATTTTTCGCGTATCCAAAATCTTTGCGTAGTGCTCACTGCACTTCTTTGTTTTTGGGTATAACAGCGTGATACGAAGATTTCCGACTTCATATACGAGGCTTTTGATTACATTTCACGACCAGCTGATCAGCAGACGGCTGAAGGCCTTCTTGGTCTAGCCCTCAAGTGTGGCGAGACCAACCTTCGTGCAATGGAGATTCTTAATGAGGGCCATTGCGAGAGTTTCGGCACCCCAGAGCCTACTGTCGTAAGTGAAGTTAAAGATTTTTCTGCGAGTTGCTCTTGCATGACGTGCTAACGTCTAGATATTCCATTTCAGGTCCGGACATCTCCTGTCAAGGGAAAATGCATTTTAGTATCAGGTCATGACATCAAGGACCTTTACGAACTGCTGAAGGCAACAGAAGGAAAGGGCATAAATGTGTACACGCACGGAGAGCTGCTGCCTGCGCATGGTTATCCCGAGCTGAGGAAGTTTAAGCACCTCATTGGCAACTATGGTGGCGCTTGGCAGCTGCAGAAGATTGAGTTTGCGGCTTTCCCTGGTCCGATCCTGGTTACCACTAACTGTATCTTGGAGCCGAAGCCTAGCTACGCTAATCGCATATACTCTGCAAATGCCGCTGGGTAAGGACCAATTTACTCCTTTTTTTTTTCGCATTCAGTGCCGCTCAGCGCGAGGAATTTCGCTTAGCGTGGTTTGTTTTCCTCTTTCCAGGCACAAAAAAGTCCAGCACATTGATGGACGACGGTTCGACCCTATCATCAAGCAGGCACTAGAGATGGAAGGGTTCGTTGCTGAGGCACCTGAACGTACGGTTATGACAGGTTTTGGCCATGCTGCCGTTTTGAAAGCCGCTGATGTCGTCATTGATGGTATCAAGGATGGACGCATCAGCCACCTTTTCCTGATTGGTGGCTGTGATGGATGGGAAGGCGAGCGCTCCTACTTCCGTGATCTTGCACTTTCGTTGCCACAGGTAAAGGATGGTTGTGTGGAGTTTTCAAATTAGCAAGTGACGATTTCCTAACTACTTCTGGATGATTCATGCAGGATGCTGTGGTACTGACTCTAGCTTGTGGAAAGTACCGCTTCAACCATCAGCAGCAGCAGTTTGGCAACATCACTGGCACCCAAATCCCTAGGCTGATGGATGTTGGCCAGTGCAACGATGCGTACTCGGCCATCCGCATCGCTTCTGCATTGGCCCAGGCATTCAACACTGATGTCAACAGTCTCCCTCTCTCCTTGGTCATTTCCTGGTTTGAGCAGAAGGCTGTAGCTGTAAGTTTGTCGGCAAGACTAAAGCATTTGCCAACCAAAGCAACTACTAAAAACGTCCAAGCATCATTCCCTGACAATCTGCTTGGTGTGTGTGTTTGCATTGCAGGTACTGCTCACCCTTCTTCATCTGAACATTCAAAACATCCGCATCGGCCCCAAGCTTCCAGCATTTGTAACGCCAAATGTGCTCCAGATTCTTGTTGATAAGTACAAGCTCACTCCTATTGGAGGGCCCGAGAGTGTGCAGCAGGAAATGAAGGAAATGCTCTCAAAAGCATGATGTTTTGAGGCTGTTATTTCATAGTCATGGAGATATGTTGTCCAGCTTTAGTTAGCTAGAACTGTTGTATGCTGAAGTACTATGGGACATGAGTGCAATCAATGGCTTCTTTGGCTCTATTCCTTTGGACCCTGTGCGTGAAGTATGCTATCAGCAAGTTCCATGTGCCTGCACATGTACCAAAACGAACCGACGTAATTGCCATAACTAAAATTTCTTTCGAGTTCTGTAGATTCCATTGTTTCTCCATTTTGTTGCAGGGAAGATATTATCGTGGGGTATATTGCGGGTGGCCTGTGTTAGGAAATGTGTGTTTCTGTTACGAGTGCAATTGAGTGAACGAGCGAGAATTGCACTATCGAAGCAAGAGTACAATGAGCGAAGGCATGAGCGAAGAATATATAGCGAAACTACAGTGGTAACGGTAAAGTGGGAAATTGAGGTGCGCTACGGGCCTAGCGCCGAGGTTTGGAGAATTGTCGAGGCGGAGGTCCGGAGCGCGGGTTACCAACCGAACCGTTAGGTTGGGTCGCGTCGTGAACAGTGGCGGGAGTCGTGGTCGGGGCGAGTGTCGTGAACGGGTAACGTGCATGGATGGGTGCTGATGGCGGGAACGGTTATGTACGCGGTAAGCAGGGACGCGAAGTAAGGAAAAGGAATTTTCCTTACACTACCCCCCTCCCCAAGGAGGCCCCTCTTACGAGAGCGCGCGTACATCTCGGAAGTTTCAGCTGCGCAGATACTCAGTGAGGACAGGGTGATTCTCAATTCTATCCAAGGGGACCCAGTTGTCTTCGGTGGGCGTGCGGTCTTTCCAGCGGATCAGGAATTCGATTCTGCGGGCTCCTCGTGGGTCACGTACTCGATGGCTCAGTATTTTCTCAGGCGTGATGATTGGCTCAGTCGGCGGTCGTGTCATGCTGGCGGGGCGGTTG